ACATCGACTACCGCAACAAGGACCAAACCTCCAACTACATCCTCGGCCTGGGGAAGCGCTGTGGAGGAGGCCTGTGGACTTCTTGCGAAGAGGCCAGTGACAGCAACAGTCAAGCCCAACGGATTAAGAGTCAAAGGTGTGGTTCACGATATCCACTACAAGCTTCCTGAGTTTGACCCCAAAAGATGGCACTCTTCCTGTGAGTGGCAGGGCCAAAGGATAGTGATCAGTGCCTTCACGTCAAGAGGATGGAGCTCAATTGACGACACCCTCTGCAGACGCCTTCGAGGTTACGGTTTTCCTCTACCGCAACAAAAGAAGATGTACATGTTCGATGGAACCGCATCAGCGTGCATTGGAGAAGAAGGCGAAGGGGATCTTCAACCTCAGGAAGAAATACGAGAAGTAGCTGGAGAAGACGACGATGAACTGGGTCCAATGCCACAAGATGATGACTTGGAACCCACGGCAGAGGAGAAAAGGCTTGTCAAAAGACTACATGAAAATCTGGGGCATCCAAAAGCCCGGGACATGGCTCGATCATTACGTTTAGCCAATGCAAAGCCTCACATAGTCAGGTATGTGGCTACACGTTTTAGTTGTTCGGTGTGCGAGTCCAAACCACGACCACGACCAGCTCGACCTGCTGTCCTTCCGAAGTCGTACGAACCAGGCAAGGTCGTGGGCGTTGACGTGATCTACCTACCAGCGCTAAATCCACGGGAAAGCTTTCCAGCCCCCAACATGGTCGATTGGGGAACTGGATTCCAGATGGTGGAAAGACTGAAGAATGTCGAGGCTGACCACTCATGGAGGACCTTTCTCAGGACGTGGGGAAGAACATTTGGGATCCCAGAAGTCCTCGTGGCTGATTTGGGAGGCGAGTTTCGTGGAAAGTTTGCTGAAGTGGCGGCGCAAGCTGGAGCTCTGATGCGACGCACAGCAGCCAGAAGTCCATGGCAGGCTGGAAAAACGGAGCGCGCTGGAGCTCACTTCAAGCATGTGTACGAAAGAGCAAGAGATGCAACTCATGTGTGTTCTTGGGAGGAGATCAAATCCTTGCTCTATGAGGTGGAGAGTTCTCGCAACAGGTTTGGCAACAGGAGTGGATACAGCTCTATGCAGAGGCAGATTGGGCACAATCTTCGACTACCTGGATCACTTCTTTCTGATGATCCCCTTGATCCTCACCTAATGGTGCAGAGCGCAGGTGATGAGATGACAAGGCTGTTGGAGCTTCGTAAAGCCGCGCAAGAGGCCTACATCCGGTCACAAACCGAGACAGCTCTATCCAGAGCCAAGAACGCCAGCAACCGGGTGACTATCGAGTTCCATCCCGGGGATACGGTGTATGCCTATAGGCAGCCCAAAGAGCGGAAAAGGAGGCACGCCATGACTCCGGAGTCGCATGAAGGCCGGAAGCCCTGTTGGGTCGGACCAGGCCTAGTCCTTGCAGTTGAAAAGCCAAGTTTGTGGGTGTCTATGAAAGGCGAATTATGGAAAGTCAGTATGGAGCAGTGCCGTCATGCAACCTCTGAAGAGCAAGTGTCCAAAGAAATGTTGGCGGGAGAAATGGAAGCACTACGTGAAGAACTTGGACAGCGAGCCACCAAAAGGACTTTCCGGGACATGACCGGAGAAGCTACTCCAGAGGAAGATCTACCTCAACAGGATCTTTCATCCTATCCTTCTGCGCCGCAACAACTAGCAGGAGAACCCGCAGCAGCTCGACCACGGCTAGATGATCCTGGAAGGGTACCGATTCCAGACAATGAAATGGACTACTCTCCGGATGGTGAAGAACAACCTCATGAACTACCAGAAGGTCCAGAAGCACAACCGCCAGAGGCGAGACAGTTCGAAAGGCGAAGAACCGAATCCGAGCCAGAGCCAATACCCACACCAAGAAATCCAATGGATCCTATGACAGCAAGAACGGTGATTCGGAATGAGCAGCTCGATGGCAACTTCAGAGGAACGCCAACCTATGATGCAGCAAGGAGATTGGCGGAACATCGACCCATGTCCTCTCCTTACTTTACGGAAACCACCAAGGAGGATCAGATCAGTCCATGGTTCTACTATGAGGATGGGCGCTGGAAGCAGGAGTATGACTGCTGGGAGTTTGTCAACCGAGACACAATTGTTTGAAGGCATGTTCTTGGAAGAACTAGCCTCTGCAACCCCAAGAAGATCAAAGGAACCTGCATGCCGAGAAGACTGAAGTTTAGGCAGAGCTACATGGTGATGAATGACGGTCAGGTGAAGACTGAGTCGAGCCACTGGATCAAAGAAAGAAAGAGAAGTCAAAACACAAAGATGTGGACAGGCTTCACGGTGTTCAGCAACAAGCCCATCAAGCTCGAGAACTACATGGCCCAGAAACCTCGAGGACAAGGTGAAGTGTTTGAGCACGAGATCAAAGGAGAAGAATGGGCAGAGTGGAGGAAGACAGACAGTGCCGAGTGGAAGAAGGTAGCTGACACCGGAGCTATCCGGGTTCTTTCGCTGGAAGAGTCCATGAAGGTTCGAAATGGAGACCAACGACATCCAATAATTCCCTCAAGGATGGTGAGAAGATGGAAACCAGCAGAGCAACCCGGTCAGCCGCCAACGAGGAAGAGCAGGTGGTGTCTTCGTGGAGATCGAGATCCGGATCTGCTGGAGCTCGACAGACATGCCTCGACGCTTACAAACACCTCGTTTGGAGTCCTACTACAAGTTGCAGCTAACATGAAGTACAAAGCAGCAGTTGGAGACCTCAAAAATGCGTTTTGTCAAAGCCTGCCTTTGACGAGAAAGAAAGGGGCTCTCTACGCGAGCCTACCCAAGGGCGGAATCGATGGACTACATGAAGAACAGCTGGTAGAGATCATCGCTGGAGTCTATGGATTGGGTGACTCACCTAAACTATGGAGACGGACTCTCCGAGAAGCAATTCTTGGTTTGGGCTACAAGGAGTCGGTCCTGGACCCGACAGTCTATTTCCTGCAGAGCCCTAGCAAGCTGGAAGGTGCTATAGCGGTTGAAGTTGACGACTTGTTCACCTTCGGGAGTGAGATCCACGAGACCAAGATGAAGCTCCTCCAGCAGAAGTTCCAGTTTGAGAAATACGAGGACGTGATGCAGTCCAAAGATGGTGTGGGTTTTAACGGAAGACGAATCCACCAAACCGAGAACTACGAGTTCAAGGTGGATATGCACAAGTTTGTGACTGAAAGGTTGAGTCCCGTACAGCTCAGCAAAGGACGTCGTTCCGAGCCCAAGGCGTTGGCGAATGACAGCGAGATCAATCAGATGAGGGCGGTGATCGGTGCGCTGAACTGGCTTTCTAAGGAAGGAAGACCAGATGCTGCGGCTGCAGCGTCTCTGGGACAAAGTACGTTCCCAAAGCCGATCGTGCAGGACATTCTGGACGTGAACCTCGCTGTAAAGATGCTCAAGGAAAAGCCGGAGCTCACTATCCGCATACGCAGCATTGAGCTGTCTAAGCTGGCATGGGGAGTGATTTCTGATGCAAGTTTTGGCAATGCCCATGCGGGACATAGTCAGGGTGCATATGCCGTGTTGGCCTTCGATGAGAAGCTGAAAGAAGGTTATCGAGTTCCATGTTCAATGATTTCGTGGCGAAGCGGCCGCATTCAGAAAGTGGTGAACTCGACCCTTGCGGCTGAGACCCAGAGTTTGAGTAAGGGCTTAGGCGAGCTAAGCTGGGTGGTGACGTTGTTCAACGAGCTCACGGACGTGAACTTCGAGCTAGTCGACTGGGAGAAGCGACTCAAAGACAACAGAGTCCTGGCAATGGCGCCAGACACCTCCAGTGAAGGGCTAAAGTCAAGCCTATGCATCATCGACGCCAAGGCGCTGTTTGATCATCTTTCACGAGAAACTACAGGACCCTCACAAGACAAGAGGACTGGACTGGAAATCCAAGTGGTCAGGCAGCACATGAATGCTATCTCAGGAGAAGTACGATGGGTACCTCATCCACAAATGGTGG